TTTCAACCTTTTCTCCCTCATGATACTACCTACTGGTCCAATTGTGAGGATTTTGGTCATCTTTACATAGAGTTGTAATCCATACTGAAGGTTGCAATCCTTGATCTTCATCAGCGAGCGCTTCAAGTCCTCCTCACTTTCAGCAACCTGGCCTGGTTTTAGCTGCTCATATTGAGCACCTCCTTCACCTCTCCCCACAGACATAGACCATGTGATTTCTGTATATTTCATCTGGAGAAGTACACATGAATAGTTGCCTTTTGTGTTGATGAAAAGGTATTTGCTATGAACAAGGTACAGTGAACCCTCGTTTATTGCGGTTAATCGGTTCTAGACCCTACCGTGATAAATGAAATTCCGCGAAGTAGGATTCCTTATTTGTAAATCAAATATATTCATAGTTAGAGCATAGAGGACATGAAAAAACACCCTTTAGTCACCATTACACTCATATTACCCAATTTATTAAACGAAAAAGGGAAAATACAGTAAAACATTTTGGACGTTACAATTATCATTTATTATTTATTATATTATTTATGGCATCAAGTGTGTACAGTATGAGCCAATCAGTGGCAGTAATGACAGAGCATGCGCTGTTACGCAAAATCCGCGATAGAGTGAAGCCGCGGAAGTCGAAGCACGAAGTGGCGAGGGTTCACTGTATTGGTCTTGCAAAAATTCTATCCAGCTTCATTTCTATGACCAAACCAAAATTTCCAACTACTGTTCCTCCATCTTTCTTTGCTTATTTCCAACTTTTATATTCCAATTCCAACTGAATTCCAGTTCAAATAATTATCAATGCATCTTGAGTGCATGTTTGACCAATTTCAATGTGCAGACATTAGTAGAATTCTTCAGTACCTTCATCACAACTTTAGTGATTGTTGTGTTCCATTGTAATTTTAATGACTTCCAAGTGTCCTAGATTCATACTTCATACATTCTAGGTGTAATTATTAATTGATATTTGTAGCTATTCCTTCTCAATCCGAGTCATACCCCATTAGCAAATGAAAGTCCCCAAAGATTTATTCTTGCAGAGTTTACTTCATCCACGTCATCATGGTCAACTACTTTGAGAGGAGAGCTCTTCCTGTCATATTTTGAGTGCCTTTCGACCTGAGGGGCTCATCTTCTGGCACTATCTCTGACAATGCTGTTTTTATTCACTAGATTTTCAACAACGGACAATGTTTCGATGTTACCCAGAGGGTTTTTGGTGGCTAATACCTCTGAAATGAACAGCCCTTTCCTTCTCTGTAGCCTGCTCTCAGTCTGAAAACTCTGCCCAAACTTGCTCACATTGGTAACCGTGCTGGAATGTGAGAAACCACTGACACAGCATCACAGCAACACACAAGCCATCACAAGTATGACAAATTGACAGACTAGTTGGGGATTAGAAGCATACACCTATTTGCATATACCTGTCTCCTATTTAGATTTGTATACAAACAGCTTTAAGGGAGTGTGATCAAAGAATCAACCTCCAACGTTGGTGAAATCAGAAGAAATAAAGTGATACAGGAATGGGCAGCATCATGTGATTTATAACCTCAACATTAGTGTACACAACCACAAAAATATGACAATCATATTAATATTATCTATATATGTTATGTAAGGGAGCCCAGTGATGTAGTAGGTGACCTGGTGGGCTGCTAATACCAAGGTCAACAGTTCATATCCACCAATTACTCTTCTAGATCAATGTGAGGCTTTCTGTTGCCATAGATATTTATAGCCTCCAAAACCCATGGGGCGGATCTGCTCTGTCCTATAGGGTTGCTGTGAGTTGGAACCGACTCAGTGGCAGTGAGTCAGGTATTTTTGGTTGGGGTTATATAGGATATACACATATGCATATATGTATGTGTCTGTGTACATATATATTATTAAACTCAAGGGGGGAAATCAAATGATAAGGATGCCGAACGACAAGCTTGTGGTGCGGGGCGCTGTGTCTCCTTCCACCCTTCTTGGGCTCACCTGCACAGACTCTGTGGTTGACGAGACATCGCTACATGCTGTGTGCCTCTGTCCTGCATTTTCCACTCTGCTCTATTTTCAACAAAGTGTGCATGAATCTCAACCAGGTAATTTCTGAAAATAAGTTTCTTCATCACAGTGTTCACTTCTTTGGGTTTTGATGGGTCAATAAAATAGCAAATTACCCCAGTCATAACATAAATGATGTTGCCAAGAAGAATCAACCTAGAAATACCTATTGTTACCATAAAATGCATGGACCTTTTTGTAAAGTTCGGCATGTACTGGAAGAGCAAGCACCGGCTGGCTGACCGACTTCCAAGGTCACTTGTGAAAAGTCACCAAAAATGGGACAAGGGAAAATACCAAAGAAGAAGAAGGAGATGAAAGAAATGCTCCAATGCTGGGGAGGCTTATTTAGAGAGATGATTCGGGTAGTCAGTGCCAAATTGTATATGGAAATTGATCACAAGTTTAATTTTCATTTTTAAGATCTCCCTCCTTTCTCTTCCATCGCCCCTCTCGCTCCCTTCTTGCTCCTTATTTTATGCATAAAAATGCAACCAGGCTGAACTAAAGCAAATTGGTTTAATTCCCTGGAGGGAGCGTGAACAAATTTTCCCAGAAACTTTCTGCTATAGGCATTTGTGTGCGAGTATGTGGATGGAATGTGGAAACTATCAGCTACGTAAACCAGTAACAGAATGAAGCAGCACCCTTTCAAAGTGTCCTAAAACAGCACTAACATCGCCAATTAAAACTTCAGCGTCAAATGAAAATGGCAAAAATAAAATTAAAGGCAAATGCATATGTATGGTGCGTGGGGGTGGTGCATGTGCATGCACGTGTCGAGGGTAGAAGTAGTACGGAGGGAAGAGGACATGAATTCCCTTTTAAAGGCACATTTTGCCACAGAAGCAGTAGCAGGAGGGCTCTTTGATAGGACAAAAGAAAGAGGTAAAGTATACAGTCAATAATTTCATCAAACTGAAATGTCAGCATTAGACACACACAAGGCATTTGTATGTACCCACTTTGAGCCTTTTTAAAAAGAACAGGTAAACAGAACACGGAAAGGTCTGACTGTGAAGGGCTCTTTTCCTTTTAGTGCAGAGAGTTCTGTGACTACGTAGGTCCTTCAAAAGCCACGAAGGGGTAGTGTGTTCCTTCATTCATCACACACCTGTTCAACAAGCACCGAGCACTTTGTGTTGCCCTTACTGCTTGGGATAGAGATAAGGAAGGAAGGCATTCTTATCAACATCAAAGAGCCCCCAAGCCAATCGCAGAAACTTGCCCTTCTCTATCTTACAATGTAGAGGTGACAGGTCGTTGTCACGTCCCACTCTCCTGAAGTCACAGTGGCATCAACAGTAGCAGGTGGTCCTTTGAGGATGATCCCCAACCCTGTAGTCTCTGCTTGTGACCATGATCTACAGTAGAAGGACCAGCAGCCCTCCTTGACCTGGGACTTTTGTAATGCCTTCAGGCTCATTCTGAGTGCACCTTTTCTTAATACCACATACTCATACTCCTTCATTATTTTCCCTCGAATGATTGTCCTGAAAATCAAACCAAGAGCGCAAAGGGAAGGAGCACATGAGCTGACCCTCGGACTTGTCATCACAGCCCACCCATCTCCCACCCCGCCGCACAGCTAAGCTCTCAAGGCCGGGCATGGCATCCAGACCTCCCTGCCCCCATCTGTTCTTCAGATTTACCCACTACCACACTGGCGCCATCGGTTCTGAGCACACCTGTCCTCTCCCAACAACAAACTTATCCCTCTGCCCCGATCGTCATTTCATCATGATCCTGTCTCCCATTTGTGAGATGAAAACATTCTTTTGTATTCAACTTCTTTACTTGTAGCCATGATTACAATTGCCGCTAAAAAAACTGGTCCAGTGTAAACAAGTTAAATTATATGGCTGTTTCCATCCTCAGAAAACATTACGATTAAATAAGAATCTCAACTAGATTGTAATGAAAGACAAGTGTGTGTGTGTGTGTGTGTGTGTGTGTGTGTGTGTGGATGCCATGTGTTTTTGCTTCTGTGCATACACACACCCAAGGGGCTTCAAAAAGTTCATGAGGAAAAATTATATTGAAAGAAAACAATTTTCCCAAGAACGTTTTGAAGCCCCAAGTGTGTGTGTGTGTGTGCTCGTGCATGCACACATACGTGCATGTGTGTGCATGTGTACGTGTGCTTGCATGTGCGTATGTTTCCATCCCCTGGATTGCACAGTTTGTACTTTACTATTAACTGAAGGATGATGGTTCAAACCCACCCGGCAGCACATGGGAGACAGACCTGGAGATCTGCTTCCATCAAGTTCACAGCCAAGAAACCATATGGAGCACTCCTGGAATACAGAGATCAGAACGCGCTCAATGTCCACAGGTCTGTAGATACACAGAATTCATGGCAAACTGTCATTAAAAGGTCATGAAGAATTTCCATGGACTTTCTGAAGCCTGTGTGTGTGTATGTGTGTGTGTGTGTGTGTGTTCATATGAAAGAGTAAATGTATGTCTCCTTTTATTTCAATAGCCTCCAAACCCTTAATATGCTATCACTTTTCTCCCCTTTAGGTGAAAGTGAATTTTAAAGAGATTTCTCCCTACTGCTTTCATTTGGGCACTGTGTATTTACGCTAGAAAGGTATCGAACTTATGACATCCTGGACCAAAAGTAAGGTGTTAATTGAACACTGTCTCCATAAATAATGACCGGTGTTAAATGAATGTCATCTATATAAGTACACAATCGGTGTTAAATAAAGGAGGTCACCCTGTCTTAGGTTTCTGTAGATCTTTCAGACATGAAGTCCCACGTGCACTCCCTGACGCACTGATTTGAACTATAAAAACAACATACATTTCCCTCAGCCCTCAGCCCACTGTCCTTCCATCCCATTCGGAGTCTTTCTCAGAGCTCCTTCTCTCACTTGAAGAGCCTGAGACCCCTGGAGGGGAGGGACGGCCCGGCTGGTGAGTACCTGCACAGGAGCGGTGCTCCTGGTAGAAGCCGTGCGCACAGGTGGGCACACACTGGCCGTGCTGCATCAGCAGGGGCGCCCGGCAGGATGAGCACTCTAGCTCACTGGTGCATGTGGCGCACTGGGACTGGCAGGCTGGTTCCCGGCAGGTGGGGAAGAAGAAAAAGAACACCGTGGTTATTTAGGAGTTAGCTCACCGACACCATCTCAATTCCAGTTCTTACGTAGCCCCAGGCTGAGACCCCCCCAAGAACAGGAAACTGTGGAAAAGTCATGTCAGCATCTATCAGTTATAGAGAGCCTACCGCACAATAGAGAGCCCACCGCACACCGTGCCCTGCTCTAAGTGCTTCGCACCTGTGCCAAGGCATCGAATCCTCACCAGCCCCCTAGGGGTCGGCCCCAAGATTAAGCCCACCCTTTCAGGTGAGGAACAGACTCGGAGGTGCAGTCACGTGCCCAATGTTGCATGTCTAGTAAGCAGTCAGGCTCGTGGTAGTCAACCCTTTCAGGATTCAACCATTTCCTCCACCTTCCATGGCAGAGATGTCAATAACTTTCCAAATGGCTAAAGATATCAATCAGAGGAGAGTGCAGGGAGAAGTGAGCAATCACAAAAATAGCAAAAGTGGCTCATGCTTCCAGTCCTGCTGGCATCCTAGATCCTATACTAAGTGCTTTACATCTGTCAATTCCCTTCATTCTCATAAAAATCCTTCCGAGAAGCACTGGGCCGTGACCTCAGTTTAGTGTTAAGTGTACTGAGGCCCCAGAACCTTTGAGTTGGTTCCATCTCCCAGTACCACTTCAATGACCCTACAGGACGGAGTAGAACACTAGCTGGGGGGAGGTTTCTCCGGCCGTCACCTGTATGAACACAGCTGAGCTCTTTCTTCATGGAGCAGCCAGTGGATTCAAACCTCTGACCTTCGGTTTGCAGTCAAGTACTATAACCACTGCGGCATAGAGACGTTAAATACTTGCAGCCCGTGGTTGAACCCTTCAACTGGATCGTTGCTCCTAGCAGGAAGACTCTTAGGAGCAATTCCCTACATGGCAGGGTTAGTTTGATTTACTTTTAAGCGAGGAATAATCTCCCAGAGAAGGGATCTGCTTCTCAGATGTATGAAAATCCCGAAAGGTCCCTACATTCATGCTGGCACCCTTGGTAACCGACCGAAGGTAAGTGGGGTGCAGAACAACCTCTGGCTCCCCAGTTCTCCATGTGCAAAATGAGAACACGCTAGTAAGTGATCTCTAAGGCCCACGGCACTTCTCAAGCTCATCCCTGGATTAGGTGAGGGTTATGTTAAATGGCACTAACTATCCTAATGATTCGGACATTGAATAAGAAAGACCAGGGGGAACCGATTGCAATGATCGCCTTATAACAGCTCCCGCCCAACCTGATGACAAACAACAGAAACATGGGTGAAGGGAGACAGCGGACAGTGTAATATATGAAAATAATTTATAATTGATCAAGGGTTCGTGAGGGTGAGAAGGTGGCGGGGTGAGGGGGAAAAAGGAGCTGATACCAAGGGCTCAAGTAGAAAGAAAATGATTTGAAAGGGATGATGGTGACCTATGTACAAATATGCTTGATACAACGGATGTATGGATTGTTGTAAGAGCCCCCAATAAAATGATTTATTAAAAAAGAAGGAGAACAAGGAAGACTGAAGCCATTCCTGGATCTTCCTTCTCTCTTGATGGGCATGAGGTCCCTTCTGCTCTGGAATTGAACATCTTTTAAAGCGCTGCAGATTGGCAAAACTGAGAAATGCCCTCCCTAGGGTTCCATCCAAGAACACACACATTTGTCTGGGACGAAGAACAGTCAGATGCTCCTGACTTGGCTCACGGACTTCGGACATGTGGGCCCTGACGAAGGCCATCACGTTTGGTGAAGCAGAGGGGCAGCGACAAAGAGGAAGGCCTTCTACCAGCTGGCCTGAGCCAGTGGCTGCATCGATGGGGAACCACTGCGGGGACAGTTCTGTTGTGCAAAGTCGGCCGCCGTAATTCAGAACTGCCTGACTACACCTACTACAACACACTACCATCCTAATAATTTGACGAAATGGAAATTTTCAAAATGCTCAAAAATATTCAAAATGGAAACACCCAGCCATGACTACCTAGTAACTCTTAAGACCTCCACGTCACGTATCTCCATGCAGGCACTGACAGACCCATCAAATGGGTTAGATTAGAAGGAGGAGGCCTGCAGGCCAAGAAGCCAGGTGACCCATAGGCCACAGGATGACCTGCCTATGGCTTTGGGAAACTGTGCCTTTTTTGCTTTCATGAGTCTCTCCTCGACGATACTGAATCTCCTTTCGAGAGGAGCTGCTTGCCCAGCACACACGGCCACCTCTGGTCTGTCCGCCCTGAGCCATACCTAAGCAGACACCGCCGGCTTGGTAAAACCCCAGAGTGCAGCTGTGCACACAGCGTCCGTCCTGCAGTAACTTGGTGGGATCCTGGCAGAGATCACAGTGATCTGGAGCTCGAGAACAGGTCAGGCAGTCCTTGTGGCAATGAGCTAAAATCCAGGATAAAGACGAAAACTTGATAAAGCCCCTATGACTTATCCTGTGTGCTCCAGAAAGGGAATCACAAAGTTAACAGTTGTACAGAAGACAAAAACAAACAAAATACTAAAACTTAGGTATGGAAAAGGTCCGCACACAGATTCAAAGAACCTTTCGTTATCTGAATGACGTTCACTGGACAGAAAGCACGAACTGAAGGCCCAGATTGAAGGCTCAAAAAACATGGCTGAACAGACTCAATACTGGCTTTACCAGCAGGAACGGGGAGGACCAAACCCTAATAAAAAATTTAAACCAATTCAATTATTTATCATTTTCAGATGGTCCAAAAGTTTGGCAAGCAAAAACTGTTGACACAAAACCTTAAGTTTTAAAAATAGTTATTATTTCCTGGGCAATGGGAGGTACACATTTTCAGCCAGTTTCCTTGACAGCCTCCAAAATTTCAAATCTCATTCTGAATAATTGAAATGATCACTGGACTCAGTGGTAATTGCCAGCAAAGGAGTCTTGGACCTGATTTCCAAAATAAGTAATGTTAGGCTAAATATTTGTTTTGGAAAGCCACTTCAGAGAAGGTGCTGTAATTAAAGTATAAAGTGGCTTGCTTCTCCCAGGATGAACTCTTCATAGAAACACTAGGATTAGCCAAAATAAGTTGAGTTCAACAAGAGCAACTGCCAACATGAAAAATTGGAACCCACAGATGAAAACAATTAATTATGAAATATGAATGGAAGAAAATGCCATTTCTCCAAGAAAGCTCAGGCTTATAGGCAAATTACCACGCAGCCAGAGCAGCTCCCGTGCTTGCCAGCAATTATTAACTGGAACTAATTCAACCCCGGGTGATTTGAAAGCAGAGTTGCAGAACAAGTAGATAAAATTTTTCTTTTGGAAGAAATTAATGAGTCTGTATATCTCAAAAACCCATTTGAGAACTCCAAAAGAACCATCTGCTTAACAGAGTACCTTAAAAAAGAAAAGAAAAGGAACATTCAGAAATTCTTGGGGCAATTATTTTCCTATCTTCAACGGTCCAATGGAACGTTCCATTGGAACGGTCCAAACACACAGACTTGACTTTGCAAGTTAATCGACAGTGTGCCTTTTTCGAGATTTATTAGGGAAGCTACAGGTTACAATTCATGATCAGGTCCAACGTAGGATACAGTTTGCCAGTCAGGACCATTGGGGGCCAGACTCACAGGCAGGCCTTTCCCTGGGCTCCCGGGCCTGGCCTCTGGCCCCCACTTAGGATCCAAAGGCACCCCAATCTGCCAGGAAGCCTCCTGGGTGATGGCTCTCAGCAATACTGCTCCAGGGGCTGGCATGCCCATTGGCAACCACCTGGCTCCACAGGCTGGGAAGCCCCGCAGGCCATCTCACACCAGTCTCCTGATTCTGCTGCGGCCACTCCCTGCCCCCCCACCCCCCCCTGCTGTCTTTCTCAATCTCCGGTGGTTCAGATCTCCGTCTCTGTCTGCCGGGGTTGGTAGTAATCTTAGTCCAGGGACTCTGGGCCCAAAGGCCACAGACATTGCTGGATCTTCTCTCTTGATGGGCATGAGGTCCCTTCTGCCCTGGACTGGAATTGAACATCTTTCAAAACATTGCAGATTGGCAAAACTGAGAAATACCCTCCCCAGGATTCCACCCACCGTATCTGCACTGCCCCAACACCCAAGGGTGCTGCACGCACACCTGGTTTGCATTATTAAGAAGTTGTCCAGTTCCCGAAGTGAGCCCACATCGTGTCTTTTGATTTTCACAACCATTGGGCAAGGTAGATAAGGAATATCTTAGCAACATGAAAGCTAAAAGTTTTGAGAGGGCAGTGACTTGCCCAAAGTCACATACTCATCACAGGGGAGGCTTGGCAATCCCACGGACAAAGATTAATTAGCATCATTAGTTAGAAAGTTCAGGAAGAAACAAACCAAACTGCCCACCAGGTGACCAAGTAATCTGAAGAGGGGGGACAAAAGTCCCTCTCAGCAGAGAGAAGTCAGACGTGAACCTACCCGATGTGCACTCTGGACAGCACTGGCCCTTCACCTTCACAGCTAGTGTGGCCACTGGGCAAGGTGGACAGGAGGGCTCGTAGCAAGTGACCTGAGCCCCCCGACACTCACACACCTTGCAAGGGCCGGCCTTCCACGTATCCTCCTCCTGCGGAAACGAAAAGTGCGACATTGCTCTCAGATGGCAGTGATTCCACCCGATTGGCTGGCAGGGAGCCAGGGATTTCTGGGAGGCCTGAGGTACTGGCTGAGGGGGTACCGCACAGCACCTATCTATGCCAAATCCGATTCGGAAAAAGGACAGTCAGGAAGGAGTGCTGCGTCTAAAAGGGGAGTGCCTCCCCACTTCGTTTCTAATTGGCGAATTTTGATATGTGGAATTAAATATTTAATATGGGTAGCACCACCAACTTAACGACTAACTTAAGGTTGGCTGTTTGAAGGCACTCAGAGGTCCCCGTGGTGCTTCCTCTCTGCAGCTCCTCGTGGGCGGCTTGCAGAGCGCACAGCCAGGAGAGGTCATGAAGCACAGCCCTGCTCCGAGACACACAGGTCCCCGTGCGTCACCACAGACTCAGGGGCACCTGCATTGGTGGGCTGTCTTTTAGCATGGGACCTACACACCTGGAGACCCTCAGTCCAAGCCCTCTTGGGTGACCATCCCAGATGATTCTTCCCTAGCCCAAGGCACTGAAAACTTGTTTTTCAACCCCTCTCCCTGCAGAAAGTAATATGGGGGATTACAGTGCACCTAGTGATTAGCAGGTCCATTAAATACACCCTCTGCAATCGCAGGTAACGGGGTTAGCCCTGCATTTCCTTACCGGTGCTACAACACTAGAGTCATTGTATTCTTAAAATTAAAGCTTTCTGGAGGCCCATTTTTAGGGGGCTATAGAAATATCATGGGCTTTCTCACGCTGAAATATTCTTTACAGCCAAGAAAATTATGGTAATAAACATTACAACTTCAGCAGAGAAGCCAAAGTGAATTATTAAAAAGAGCAGTTCAATGGACAGTGTAAGAGATGAAATAATAATAACAATATATAATTGTCAAGGATTCACAGGGGAGGGAGGGTGGGGGAGAGAGGGGTAAAAAAGAGGAGCTGATACCAAGGGCTCAAGTAGAAAGAAAATGTTTTGGAAATGACGATGAGAACATAGGTACAAATGTGCTTGGTACAATTAATGTATGGAATGCTATAAGAGCTTTAAGAGCTCCCAATAAAATGATTTAAGAAAGAGAGAACGACACAATTTTGTTTGAAGTCTTGCTCACCCCTGAGACAGGAAAGGGACCAGGCTTCCTACCAGAATGTACGGGGTGATGAGGGACATGAGAGAGGAGAGAACCGGAGACTGTTTAAATAAAATGTCGATAAAAGCATTTTTAGGTCCACTGGTGTTAAACAGCACAAACCACTGTGGATGCTATTTGGCCACAACGAATTGTGACTTTAAAAGACGGAGGAACATTATCCATAGAAGCAGAAGTGCTTCTCTGCCTCTCTTCCCTCTCAAGCCAGACCGAGTCCCTGGCCTCTTTAGTCACAAGGAAGCCCCTGAACTGTACGCCAGCTTGGAAGAGCACGCACGCTCACCCTTTCCCTTAAAACACCCATGCAGCACTGCCCTCCACACTTGAGAGCAGGGGCCCGCAGCAGAGCACGCCCCAAAGCAACCCTTCAGCACATGCAATTCTATGGCAGATGAAGCTCTTTTCCTGGGGAGGGAAATTAAGGGGGAAAATAATTATCACTGCAAAGGGAAAAGAAATCTGTAGGGCCTTTGGTGTTGAGGGAGATCCACTTGCAAATGTAGGAAAATAAGCAGAGAGGAGCGATGGATCAAAGTCTTTGTTGTCATTCACTATTAGCTGCTAGCACCTAATAGTCACCAAAAATTAGCTGCGAACAGCAGACAAGCACCAAGGTTCCCAGATCGCTTATGCAGGTCATTACTTAAATCAATTTTATAAAAATCTATGTACTTACTGGAATACGTGCAACTTCACTAGCATTGGACGACATCTGAGGATAGAGAAGAATGTATTTATCAGAACACTGAAAACACCATTAGGCTGATCTAGTCATGTCTTCATTAAGAGCTATCCGTTTTCCTCCCAAGTACCATGTAACTTCGTTCATTATGAGTAACGATAAAGGTGATCGGTGCCAACCACCAGCCAAGCACGCCCACACGGAATGCAGACAAGGAGCCCGGAAAATGTTCTTGAATTCCTGGTTCTTGTTTGAGGACTTGGCTTCAGTCCCCTTCACTAGGAAGGACTGCGCCGTCATGGGGCCTACACTGACAGGGTACATTCTTTCATTCCGGACAGTAAAGTAGTTGTACTTATTTAAAATCACCTGATGTTCTTTCATTCCCCCAGTGGCTTTAATTTACCTTCAAAAGGGAACCGTGAAAAAGATGCCACCATTGTGCAAATCAACCCACCATTGCTAGAGAGCCCTCCATGGCCTGGATTCTTAAGAAACTTAAGAAACTTCCTAAGAAATGATTAAGGTTATATAATACCACTCTGAAACAAGGCAAATCACAAAATAATAATACCCAATTTTAAGCACAGCAAAAAACCCCTGTTTGGCACCATTCTAAGTGTTTTATGAGTGTCACCAGCCCTGTGATAATGTAGGTATTGCTACCACTCCCCATTATAGAGTTGAAGATTAAGGAACGTGTCCAAGATCACAATGAGTGATCACCTAGAGGCGCTATTATTATTGATGTCCAACCTAGAGCCTGTACTGTTAACGCTGCAACATTCAGCAGATATAGAATCGCTGACAGACCCAATTCACTCAGATCACAAAGACAGACGTTTTTTTGTATAGGCCATGAGTTCACAGTGCAAAGCATCGGATCTCAAGTCTTGTCATTCTATTCCGACTGGTAGATGCAGCGGGTGTGTTTATGACCATATTTTCATATTTTCAAGAACTCACTGTCTTTCTCAACATTTCAAAATCCCATGTGGAAAATATGGGCTACATAAATTAGAAGAGATTAAGCCCCTCCCCCCACGGGGTAATATAATAAAGACAGGGAAAGAAAGAAAACTGTAGCAAATGGCACTCCATCCAAGCCATCACAATTTCATCTGCTTGACCTCCCAAATACAACCATTTTCGCCACATCCACCACAACCTCCCTCCATCAAGCACTGACAACTAACCTTCTAACTAAACCACCCGTTTCCAGCTGCTTCCGCTCGTGTCCCTGCCCCTGCAGCAGCCGAGCTGGCCGTTAAGTGATGTCCGCTCCCAGCACTGCTCTTCTTCAAACTCTCCAGTGGTTCCCCTCTGCCCGAGGGTAAAACACCAGGTCTTTCACATGCCTTTCCGGCGACTTTCCCAGCCTCAACTGGACTCCCTTCTCCCTCCTGCACCTTGTTCCTGCCACACTCATCTTGTTGTTGCTGCTCGGAGATGCCCAGTGCCTCAGTGCCTGTGCATGTGCTGCTGTCTCTTCTTGGTGACAGTCCCTAGACAGTCATGTGACTCATTCCCTCAGAGTGTGCTCACGGTGTTTCCTTGCATGCAAGAGGACTCCTTGATAATGCTATGCTAAAGAACATCCCCCTCTCTCTCCAGCTGCTTTAGCTGCTTGATCCTTCCCAGCTCTGCTCACCACTGGACATGTGTGTGGTGCTGCCTGTGTCTCACACTGGAACATACGCCCCATCAGAGCAGCAGACAGGTCAGCTGTGCTCACTTCCGCACCTCCACTGCCATGGAGCCCAGTCCCTCTCACAGTGCCCCTCACAGAAGTTGCTGAGACTACATCTTTACAGAAGCAGATAGCCTCATCTTTGCCTCCACAAACAGCTGGTGGGTTGAACCAGCGAACCTTGGGATTAGCAGCCCAACACTTAACCCACTATACCAGGAGGGTTCCTTTTCTAACACATAGTAGGTGTGCAATAGCACTTTTTAAAGCACCTAAGTGGATAAAGGATGAAAGAACTCATTCCATTTCATTAAACATGGAATTTTTTTTAAAAATTAATGCTTTGTTATTATTAACCAGATACTCACAAAGTCTGCATTTTCTTCATAAACACAGTAGCTGTTCCTCGAAATGCACTCAGGGCAGCATTTTCCCTCTACGTGAATTAATTCTTCACCCTGTAGAAATAAGGATTGCAGCGGCACATATCCAATGAACATCCACAGGGAGCAAGGGAGCAGGGCCAAATTGCAAAGCAGCTGGGCTGCCTGACTAGGAAATGACAACCTTTCCACACCGCCCATGGTTCTCTCTACCCCGGTGCTGCCCCTTCCCAGGAAAGCCTAGTCCGTCCAGCACCCCCAGCTGAGGGCTCTTATTCCAGGGCTGCCCATACTTGTGCACTAGTCCTGCCCATGACCAGGGGCTCCCGGAGATAACATGGATGGCCACGGTGAAGGTGATTGTCTTGGAGAGTTATGCATCAAGCCGTCTTAATCAAAGAAGGTTGGAACTTGTAACTTTGGTTTTCATTAGCAGTGCTCAAAGGGAAACAAAGTTTGCTCCTGAATGCAAAGTCTGACGTACATACAGCAATCCGCAGACATTGATTCTGCAGTCACAAACCAATTATTATTCAATATGCTGAAACTTTGACTATGACTCAAAATACGAAGTCACTATTATATATATATATATATGGAATGCCACACTAGAGGAGTAGGGATTTAACTTTCAAATCTTAGCAGTTTAAATTTATAACATCAATAGATTTAAACATTGTTTTCATCCCACTATAATAAATGCTTGCTGTAAAAAATTTAAACAATTCCAAATTCTATAACTAAAAGGTCCCTTGCAGCCCTACCACCACTGGAATCTACTGTTTACAGTCCAAGCTGTACTTATAATTTATCACATGCAAATACTAGCATCTAATATCTGTAGGCTAAAGAGCGTTCTTTAAAAAGCATTCTCCACTTTCAGAAGACACTTCTCCTTTCTACAGAATGATGTGTCGCAAGTGAAGACATTTCTTAAGTTTGGATCTATGTCACATTTGAAATGCATTTCAAAGTATAGGAACCTTGCTAAGTGAACAATGTAAAACTGCATAAACAGAACAATTGCGATGTATTTTATGTTTGGAAAATTGAGCTAAATAAAAATAGGAAGGCATTGGTTTTGCACGATGGCAGCAGCAGCTCCTTGGGAGAAAGACGGGGCTTCCTGTCCTGTCAAGAGGTACAGAAGCCCACAGGGGCAGTTCTACCCTCTTCTGAAGGGTCACTGTGAGTTGCCAACGACTTGATGGCAGTGAGCATTAGAAATGGATTTTCACATCTTTACTATTTTTTCTTGAATATTCAAAATGTTCTAGAATGAACATAGATTATTCTAATAAAGAAAAACAAAATTTTAAAGGACTCTTCTACAGAAGAATACCTGGCAGACTGTTCTTTTCAGGTCATTGAGACGTTGTTTCCAGAAAAAAGGTCTATACAGATCACTGTCCATCAAAATTCACTGCCAATCAGAGGCTGACACTGCGCAGTG